CAAGGAAGGAAGGGAAGTTTGTGGTTATGGAGTTTATCTCCCAAAGTAATGATTAGCTGTGCTGCTTTCCAGAAGGCAGCTAAACATCTGCCTGCTGATAAGTAGTGAATAAATTCTGTATTCTGCTTTGCATGCTCACACAGCTTTGCTTCACTCGTTAAAGCGTCCTCATCACAACCCACAAGTTCTCTTGCTCTCCTGATTCTCTCCCCGCCCCACTGTGGGGGCAGTCAGTGAGTCACTGGCCGGGGTCAATCCACCACAAATAGCAAAGTATGTTGTTAGGTAATTGGATAACAGATTTGGCAACAGTTAGAGAGAGGAAAAGCAAAACAAACGCATTAGTACTACTACTACCCAAAAGATACATCTATCTTTAGGTGTTAACTGAAAAGGTTTTGTTGCAAAGTATCACCCCACTTATGCAGAACCTGGGACACATATACTCTTAATTATTGTGTTGGTTCCCTGTGCAACCAATTATGAAACAGATACTGCCCCAAAAAAGAACTTGTGTTAGAGTACAGCCTCTCAATGCAATAAATATTCAATTTGACTCTTGTTCCCCATAACACCCTTAGTATTTTTTTTAGGTAAATTATGAGGATCTCCTTCTACTTCTCCAATTCCACCCTCACAAGCGTGAAACAGAGTGGGTATTTTGAGACAGCTGTTGGATTTTTGTACACTTCACAAATACCAGCTAAGGACAGGTAGGACATATTAATTTTCCTTTCTATCTTCCTTGGGTGGGATACTGGTTAGAGAAAATAATTCTTAACTCTAGTCCCTGACAGGAAATGGTAAATAAAGATGCTGACATGTGTCCCTTACATTCTGATGTGCAGTCTGGTTTGCATCTTTTTTTACCAATGTTAGGGCAATGGTATATTATTTTTGGGCATGGGACAAGCTTTAAACCCATGACTGAAAAAAAAAATTCACTGATGTGCACAGGTAGAAAAAAAATAGATCTTTTCTATTAGATATGGTCCTCAAGAGATAAGGAAAAAGATTTGTATAGGTGATGAAGTGTGATAATATAAAAGGCTACAAGACAGTTGCTTAAGAAACAAGAACAACAAAGGGATAAACTACTGCAGGCATCACCAGAGCTGGAATGACATTGTACTGTGTACTATGTTTCCATAGCAACTAGCCATAGGAAGATGAATGTCTCATATTCACAGTGCTCTGCAGTACATGTCTATAAATCAAACTTGCATAGAAGAGCATGAGATTTCTTCCATGGGGTGGTTCTGAAAAACAGGTTATTTTCTCATTACTGGATAATTACATGAAAGAAATATGAGACAATTAGGTCATTTTTTGTATGGAAAGTACCAATACATACAAAAGTACTAATATACCTCTACTGTGAGATACTATCAATCTAAAGGCACAGTAGCACAAAAAACTGCTCATGAATGCCTTCTTTTCTTCCTTAAGATCTGAGTTATGCTTGCTAGCTTTAAAAACTGTATGGGAATTTTCTGTCCACTTTTGGTTTGTAAGACATTTTTCATAATTTATAGGTTCATCCACATTCACATATGGTTGGTTTTCAGCTTATTTCTGTTACTATTCCCATTATCATGCTCTGAGGCTTTAACATACAAATAAACTATTTTTCTGAGAAAATGTTACAGCTAGGACAAATATTTTTTCAGCATCTGTCATTAATAATATTGTATAATTCAAATATGACATTTATATTAATAAAAAAAAGGAAAACAGTACTCAAAGTAGTTTTTTAAGAATTTGGATCCCACTTTAAAAGACAACATGTTCACTTACAGATGGCCATTTATAACAAATAATTGTTGCAAAGGACTTGACACACTTCGTATACTTGTAGCTACATCAAGATCAGCAGCACTAGTATAAAGCAATTCTTCTGTGTGCTACCCATTACAGAGAACCACACCACGGAAGAACATACCATTTAACTTCTGCAACTCCTGTGTCAAAAACATTGAGTTTTTATGGCACAACTGCATTCTAATCAGGTGCACATCAGGTGTATAATAAACCCCTGATTATTTTGTTAATATGACTGCAATATTAGATCAGAAACAAATATTACTCTACTGAAATGTTGTTCAGGCAAGATTACAATCAATTAATACAATCAAATATAAACTGAAACCCTGTCCACATTCTCCAAACTTCAGCAACAGCTGTGTGCAGTATATTACTGACATTTGTAAGAAAACAACCTCTGAGGAGAAAGAACATCTACATGAAATATTATTTTATCATTATGAGATGAGATTAGATATGGTCCTCAAGAGATTTCAGTCAATTCAGAACAGCCACTACAAGTAACAGGCCACAAACTCTGCACTGAGTTTGCAAGCACTGAGGCTTTTCAGGCTTTGTGTGAACTTGTTTGGCCTGCCCAGGAGATTCTACTTGCTTTATCCTTTACAACAGTTCTTTCAAGGACCAGGCAGTTATGTCTAATTTGTTCTTAACTTTATACAGGATAACATAGCTTTACATGGATAGTAGTAACAAGAACTTCTTCCATGTAAAATTATATATTTATGTAGAGAAATATAGGCCTGGGATGACAGCAGATGTAAAGACATGGCATATGGAGTAGTAAAGTCATGGGATGTTAAGACACAGGACTAACACTGGAGGACCAAGACTAAAAATTCACTTAAGGTCAGTTAAAGACATGCAGACACAGGAACTGGACAAAAATATTTTTATAGGTGACAGAGCAAAGAACAAATACCTGAAATATGTACTTTGCACCATATATTGGAAATTAGAATGCATTGTGGGCTTGCAGACCTCAGAAGAAAGAAGAAGGTGTAAACTTTATATTTAAATAACCCAAAGCAGATGCTAGAGAGAGAACAAAACATGAATATTATACTCCTTCTGGTGAAAAAGTCAGGATAATAGTAATTCACTCTAGCATGCCTGCCTTGAACCTGTCAGCTTGAGGACTGAGAGGGACAGTGGAAGATTGAGAGTAACTACAAAGAAAGGGATAGGTAGTAGAAGGAGGTACATAACATAACTGCATTGAGACATTTTGCTGCATAGTACTTTTTGATTTTTTTTTTCAATTATTAAATCTGTACTAAAAATAATTATTTAATTAGATTGCTAAGATTTTAGTATGCAGTAAAGTTAAATACTGGCTTTAAGTATCAAGTGACTCTCCTTTGTAGCCATATAAAGACTTTGAGCATAAAAACTCTTTACATGTAAATTAGAAGAATAATCCAGAATAATCCATTATTCTTTCTTGCTACATTATATTGAACATTTAAAGATTTTTTTTTATATTAACAATGCATATATATGGATGATAAACAAAAGGATTCCATTTTCAAGCTGCAAGTTTGTTAAAATTAGTTTAACATGTATGTATGCCCTTATTATGAGCATTTTGCATATCTACAAATCAAATCTACTTTCTCTGAAAGCTAAATGACTCTGGTGGGGCCCTTCACTCTTCATGCAAATTAATTACTGGTATTATTCCTTCCTTGTGTTCTGCATAGCTTGAATACACTTGTTTTCAATTTTACATCTCAGAGTATGTTGAGAATTACACTCCACAGCAGAAAATTCCCTGGTCTGTATAGTAAGTAGATAAGTATCATGAATGTGCCTTGAACTTTTTTCCTACCTCCCTTCTGTTCCTGCTTTTGTGACACTAGCCGCAGACTTCACTTATTCTGCAACATTTTACTTGAAGTATAAAATAATGCATGCAACAATGAATTCCAAAATAAAGAAACCAGTTTGAAGACAGCATTTCCACCAAAGGGAAAATTTTATAAATAAACATAAAAACCCCTTTTCATTTAACAATATCACTAGCTCTGAAATATACAAATTAAGCTTTTTCCCCCTTGTCTCAATATTTACCTATGTTTTGCTTTAGACTTGGAATGCTTTTTTATATTGAATTTCCCTGTCTTCATCACTGACTGTACTATGGGGAACATCACAGTGCTCACAGTATACAAACTGCATTTATTCCAGATGAAATTAAAATGAAGGATATGCTCCTGGCATGCACCCAAAGGACTCCACCTTCTGGGGATCATTCAGCCTGTTGACCAGACTAGAATTAGGCATAGAAACCCCCTCAATACAGATATTGGGTCTCCATCATAAACTTCTTGCTTTACAGACCTGATGCTTTTGTGCTGTATTAATTGCTAATACAGAGATAATTCTAGAACACACATTTGGTCAGTCATCACATTTAAAACCCCTAAACATCTTCTAAGTATACATTATTTTACTTAACATAAAAGAAACATTTTAAAATTATGTTCAGTCCCAAAATTTAATTTTGATCTCTGTGGTAAAAAGAGGGAAGAACAAGAAACATATCTATTGAAATTTTTTTAAATTTGAAAATATATATGCTTCATTTGTTACAACAATGTATTGTAATATAGATTCTGTGTCACAAATACATGAAACTTCTCACAAATATCTGTGTCCAAAATATTTCTTACAGCTTTCTTTTCATACAGTCTTAATCCAATTGTACAGATCAATTCAGGACAAAAGTCTTAGCTCTGTTTTGCTAAATAAAGCTCAACATCCATACTTCTGAGCCAACCTCACCTTGCAAGAAATCTCAGCACTACTAGCTTGCAATATGCACGCCTGTTTAACTAAATTTTTTCAAGACAGCTCTTGAACACAGATTTCCTGATTAGAGGAGGAAAATAAAAAACCAAAAAGCTTTAAGCTTCTTAAGAAACAGTACGGGCAACAAATTACCTTCTGTGCCTGTTATGTATTATTTTTAAGTACTATTTATAAAATCTATATTAATTATTACATTTTTTACACATTCATTTGTGTATTATCTTTATTAATAAAAGCACTGAAACAGTAAGGGGGTGCTAAAGCTTTTATCTTCAGCTGCATGATAGAATCTAATAATTTCAATTAACTGAAACAACAAAAAGACTGCTATCCAGGAATATGGATCAATTTGTTAATCTTACCTAGTGGCTTCAAATATGATTTTTTCAGATAACTTAGAAGAAACAGAATTGAAAGCTCTCTTGAAGTCTTCAAAAGCCAAAAATCCTCTATCTTTTGATCAAGAATAGGCAAGAGAAAAATAATGCAAATTAGGGTGTTTTTTAAAACTACTTAATACAATGTTTGCATGTAAGCTAATCAATTCCCAGTTTTGAAATGATGATACATTCTAAGTTACTGCATTAGAAAAATGTTTTAAAAAGGCAACTATATAAAGATGGACAATCTAAAACAGGTTTTATACTGACTATTCCCTTTTGCCAGTGTGAACTCTGTCCAAAAGTCATGTGCTTACATCTACAACTTCCTTATTTAAGTTTTCATTTTACAAGTAGACATTTTGATAAATTGAACAAACGAATTGAAAATTTCAAATTTGCAAAGCTTTGAAAATATAGACTACAAGATATTAAAAATTACTTTTCAAATCTACCATTTCCATTGACAACTTAGGTATTTTGAACATTGTGTTTCAAATTTTTTTTTCCACAAATGTTACAATCTACTTATTCAAATTATTAGTTCAGTTTAATCTTGCTGAAAGCATCATATCAGAGCAATATCAGCTGATCAATCAAGGTTAGGTTATGAATTCACTTTCAGACTCATCTGGAAAATAATGCATCTCAAAGAAGGCTACTGTAGACTGTGTGCAGCAGATAGCAAGGCAAACAAAAAGCACAATGCTTGAAACAGTTAAGTCATTTGAAATAACCCAGTAAAAATAACACTTGAAAAGCTACTTTTAGTTCGTGGTAAAAAGCTGAATGCATGCTTATCAGATCATCCCAACATCTGATCTGCCATATGCTTCACTTTCCCTCTTTTCAAGGACCATAGTCCTGTCTGAGATCAGGAAGAAAAAGGCAGAGGATTTGAAAATCTATCAGCTCAGAGGTTCCTGATAAAGTCTTCCCCTTTTCAATTTGGTGATGGGACATCCTCTGCTGTTTAACAGGAATGAGAAAGAATCTCTGTATCTACTTCCCAATGAGAATGAGCAAAAAATCCTTATTCCTTTGGTTTTGGTTCCTTTGGTTTCCCTTCCTTGATCTGTTCTGAGAAATAAAAAAAAAAAAAAAAATTATAGCTAAAACCAAGGAAATTGGTAAAACCTATGGCATACATGATTCAGGAAATATGAGTCATAGAGACATAATGAGAGGCAGTAACAGCAAATAGGAAAGGTGAACAGCCAGGGATTTCCTTTAACAGCTGGAGGAGCTCCTGCTACCACAGACAGAGCTACAGCCCAGAACGCCACAGCCCACTGACCCTGACTTTATTCATAGTCACATCAACACCATCTTTATTAGACTAGCACTGCTTTATTTAACTTTGCTGTATCCAGGATAGCTTGTCTTTTTATTTCCTTCAGGTGTTCTATTTTGCTTAATTGCTTCAGAATTAAATTAATATTTCAAATATCAAGAAGAAAACATCCTTATGTTGTGTATCAAGAGCTGTAAATACATACTTGTTTTGTTACTGTATAACTGTGCAATCTTCATTTTGCTCATAAGATTTAACAAACTTTTCAAATAATGGACCTAGAAAAATGTAAAATTAAATAAATCTCCCTGCCAAGAAAAAAAAAAAAAAGAAAAAGCCTGTTTTATTTTCCTCCTTAAAAATATGTATGACTAAGGTCTAATGATTATGAATAATTTAAATTATATAAATATAAATAAAACTGAAATAATAACCTTCAAAGTTAGAGAATAACCATGGAAACATTTCCATATAGTTATATTTTTCTCATATATTTTCTATACTTGAGTATAATGGTTCTGTTTACTTCTACTTTTTTCTTGTTACCTGCCATCTCATGTTTCTTTACACTGGAGAGAAACCTGGACTTTTCTAAGCCAATAGCATTTGCATGCCATGGATAAAGATCCATGCTGCATAAACAATCTATCTGGCAGCATTCCCAGAAGCAAAGTCTGAAATAATGTATAATTCCAGCTACAGATTCTTGTGAAACCCATAATAAAATTGAGTGTAAAACTGAATTGGCTATTCTTTCTGCATGCTGTATGAAAGTCTTGTACACTTGTCCTACCTTTCTAATGAATAGAAAATTAAAGAAATTAAAATATAAATCTAGTTTGTAAGCTCGTAATTTACCATTTCCTCTAAAATCAAAGTAAAACACAAAAAGTAAGAAATAAAAACCTGACCCCCAGAAGTTAAGGCCTCTCCATAAAACATTCAAAAAATCCCGATAGAAAAATTCACCACATGTATGCTTTTTTTTTTTGAAAAAGGGATTCCACTTTAGCTTAATATGTAAACACAGATAAATACTCTTTTATCATAATTTCTGAGGTATGACATATGTTAATTTTAAACATATTCATTTTCTTGAGAAGAGAAGATGACTGTATCCTACAGGAATTTTTCCTTTATCTAGTAACATAACAAAAGCTCTACACTTTTTTTCTTTTGATTCATTCATATTCTCTTATTTCTGCAGTGGTTCAAAAGCACAACTCCTTCAGCTCCACCTGCTGTCTCAATTCAAATCTTGTGTACCAGTGTACAGATTTCTACTGCCTTTTTGCTTACTTCTTCTTTGAAAATCATGTATTAAGAACTATTACTATCTCAATTTCCAGGATTACACCGTCTTGCTGCTTTCAACTGCTAGGCTCTGTACATGCACCATTTCTATAATAACAGAGGTTGCCCAAACATGCTGAACTTGCCTGCAGGAGCAGCTTTCCATTCAATTGGATAACTATGGAAGTGAAATGATAAAAAAGCAGTATAAGCTTTCCATCCATTTACTCCTTCTCTTTCATAGTAACATAAGAGCCAAGAAAATTACAGTATACAATTTTCCTTTTATAGAATGACTCCTATAATAGAGTCCCACCTCTTCATTGATCTGGAGAGCTGCTGATTCATGTGCTACTAGAACAGGCTGCAAAGCTATGTCAACACACAAAAAGGACATCTTAAAAATGATAAAAGTCATTAGGTATCAACAAATCCATGATCTATCTTTTTATCTTAGTTCACTATTGCTGGTTCAGACATTCACGTGGTTTTCCTCCTGGGAAAAAATCCCAAACCTATCTTTATTTTGTATTTGTTGCCTAAATTAAAGATTTACAAGAAAGGGTGTGGCTCAATGAGCATGTGTTCTAGCATCAACACTAGAATAAACAGAATCAGCTTCCATAATGCCTTTCAAATATATTGATACAAATACCTGTGGAGCCATGTGGCAAAAGCAAAGACAGAGTTTAGCAAAAAAAAAAAAAAAAACCTCAGTTTTTTGCAACTTCATTTTTTATATGAGTAATTTATCCAATAAGACTTGCCACATGACCCTACAAACAGAAGTTTGAGTGCGTAAATTGGTAATGTCAAGAACAACAAAACCCAAGCAGGACTATATAAATGAAAAGCCTATGTATTGAATTATGGTGTAGGACTCCAGTATTTTCCCAAGTTAATAGTGTATCATTACCAAAAAATTCATAGAAATTTTCATCACTTACCAGCTTGAACACTAAAAATTACTAAATACTTTTCTCTGTCATTAATCAATACAATGTTGCTATTAAGAAATGCCACTTTGAGTGGCAAGAATAAGTTCAAGCTAAGCATAACATAGAAGCACTAAAAGTATTACAAAACTGGATGAAATCTCTTTAAGAGCCATGTCAGCTCATTTACAGAATCAAAGATTAGAATCATAGCATCATTTTGGTTGGAAAAGATCCTTAAGATCTTTTAAGCCAACTGTTAACTTAGCACTGCCTTGTTCACCACTAAACCATGTCCCTAAGTAGTGAATCTACATGTATGTTGAATACCTCCAGAATTTCCACCACTTCCCCAGGCAGCCTGTCCCAATGGTTCACAGGCCTTTCGGTGAAGGAATTTTTTCCTAATATCCAGTCTAAATCTCCTCTGGTGCAACTTGAGGCCATTTCCTCTTGGACTTTTGCTGGTTATTGGGAGAAGAGACTGACCCACTTTCAGGCGGTTGTAGAGAATTATAAGGTCTTGCCTGAGCTTTCTCTTCTCCAGGCTAAACAACCCCAGTTCCCTCAAGTATTCCTCCTATGACTGACTCTCCAGACCCCTCACCAGCCTTGTGATTAATACATATTATACAACAGTAGCAACTATGGCATTTAAATAAGAAAATATTTATTTCTTAAAATAAAATGAAAGCACCTTCTTAGCAAAAAACTATATATGTAGTCCTAATAGAGTCCTAATCAATATCAAAATCTCAAACTCAGTATGTTTAAACAAAGATGCTTAACTTTGTAGAAATTTATATTTCTATAAAGTTCTTTATCCAAAAATTGTATAAAGTTCTTTATACACAAAGGAACTATAATATTTAAATCTAACTTCTGGAGCATCAGCATCCACATGTTATTTCCTCTAAGCATTGAAAAAATTTCTGGTTTAATATTCAGATTAGAAACCATATTTACTGAAGAGTAGCTGGATCAAAATTAATTTAGTAAATCTGTCTAAAATAAAAATTTCAATAAAAATATAGAAAAAAGGAAGAGGAAATGCAAAAAAAAATTTGAATAATTTATGCTTCTACAGCTTTTCTGAAAACCATCTTATTTCATGTACTATATATTTCCTTTAGTGTCTTTCAGCAGGTTCTTACCTCAAAATTTTATCTGACAGGAATACTGGAGCAACAGTTACATGTTGATTAGCAAATTTCCAAGATTCACTAATACTCACTAATATTAGTGTGTTACCAGTATTCATTTATAGTACAAAAGCAATAAGCTAAATTACATTATGAAAACAATTAAAAAAAAGATTTTTCAGAACTGATTTAGGAGCTGACCAAGAGATCCGTGCAAAACATCTACGAACAATGTAAGGAACAGAAAGGGAGAACATAGCCAAGTAAAGCAGAGAGGTCCACTTTGAGCTATGTCATTTTTTGACATGACTGCATGCTCATGAGTCTAAACTCTTACATCTGTGTTATCAGAGTACAAGACTGCCCACAGCTGCAGCACTGAGACAGCCACCTGAGGGGATGTGAGCAGATTCCAGAGCAACCTGAGCTTATTCCACTCTGGAGAAAGGACTGGCCAAAGATGATGAGACCACTTAAGGCTGTATGTTCCACCATGCCTGAAACACTTCCCCCGGGACCATGTCAGATATATAAACAGACTAGGGAGTTCTGTCTACAAAGCTTTGATAAGATATACCAGGAGAGCAGCTGGAACCAGCCTCAAGCTCAGGCTGCCCTTCTCTACTCTGGATCTCAGGGTGTCCTGCTGCTGGCATCTTGTTCAGCAGCAGCTGTTGACCTGCTGGTGTCCTCTTGTGAAGGTACAGCTTTGGGTCAAGGAAAACACTGGACACGGGGCCTGGCCTCCCAGGAACACTGTAGAGAGTGCTTCTAGTTAAATCTAATGTAACACTACCAGGAAGGGAACTTCAGCTTGGTAAATGATGTATTTTAATGACTACAATTCCTGCAGTCTCCTTTTCATTTGGAAGATTAAATGCTAGCAGCTAGTTAGCTGAATGGTTGCTGAAATATAAGAGCATTTTGGATGACTTGAAATAGTTTTGGGGAAAAGAGGATCACTGAACCAAACTGTCAGAGAATGAAAAAAAAAGTCACATAGACATCATTCCTATAAAGTTGCTAGTTCCCAGAAATGTCAGTATTTATATGCAGAGATACATACAGTATCGGTTCAACAATGAGTTTAATATTTGTTTACATTTTCCAGTTATTAGCCTCATAAGTTTTAATTTTAAACATTAAAATTACATAAAGTTCAAATTTTATATTAATAACCACACTAAAATAGTATTTTACTCACAATATAGCATTGTTATAACAAATTATTTAGAAAAATCAAGTGGAGTAGGAATGTGATTCAAATTTTTAGAGCTCACCTTTTCCAAGGAAGAGTTCATTCATGACATCTAGCGGGTAAAGTTAGTATTACTTTTAGCTTACAGAATAAAGGCAAACGTGGCAAAAAAAAAAAAATAGCAACAATTTACTAAAAATTCAATTGCTTGATTGCAGTTGATGATGCTAAGCAATTGCCATTTATACTGAAAAAAAAATGTCAGTATGTAGTGCAGCTGAAAAAACAGTTTCACCTTAAGAAATAATGTATGCACACTATTCCCCATGTCTTGCAAAAGCAATTGAAAGGACTCTCCTTGCCAGGGCTGCTGTTAATCATTTCCAAAAAAACAGAAGGGCTGTTCCTATAGCCTAGGATTTTGTGAATTTTGACAACAAAGCAATATGCACAATAACATGCCCAAGAACTGGATCTTAACAATTAACTTTTAAGATCGCAACATCTGCATTTGGTTCCTCTCTGGTGCACAGAGAAAGTTGTGTTTCTCAGAACCAGATTAAAAACCATACGCACGTTGAAACGAACACACTCAGGATCCAGTCATCAGCAAAAGCAAAACACGTGGCTGTGCTACAAACCTTGCCTAATGCACACTAGCAGAAGCCACAAAAAGAAAAGTATCTGCCTCCCCAGGGACCTTTTAGAGATCTTCACAATGAGCAGTAATTGGGTAAAGGGCAACAGTTGCTGGAATTGGGCCCACTAAAAGAGCTAGCAAAACCACTAGATGACAGAATCAGCCCTACAACAAAGGTTTCTTAATTAATTTTTGTGCAGCTGCACAGACCAAATGGTCAAAGTAGTGCTTAGAGCCACAGCAGGTGTGACTTGGCACCTTTTCAGGAAGAAATAACTAAACCGGCATCTCCTGTCTTCCCAGGAGTCCTCTACTTGTATTCTTTTTCCAAGGAAATGCCATCAGTGACTCATGCACCGAGCCTGCTCTTGTTTAAATGCCTTAAGCATGTTTTGAGTACTCCTGCTGGAAGAAACACTCAGGGAATTTGACAGAACACTTAATTTTTATATAGTAAAAATAGCTAGGAGAAGATAGATAGGGAAGAAGTTGAGCAGTTTGAGATTCATAATTCAGTAGTTAGGACTCACATTAGAAGCCTTAATCATTTTTAGATCTGGCCACAGTTCATTGAAAAAATGTTTACCCACAGCTGAAGTGCATCAGAAATCACTACTTTCATAGTTAACTAAAATATTTTTGTGGGTTTTACTAAATTATCATAGATACAATTTTGTTTATGACCTTATCAAGACAGTTTTTGTAAAATATGTGTTTAATTTAAAAATAATAATAATAATTATTTGCAAGCAGTCTTTGGGGAAGAAGATTGTTCAAGCTGGAGAAGAAAGATGATTCAGCCTTTCTATACTTTATATATATAATACACATTATAGTAGATTGGTCTCATTTATTGACATGCCATGAGAAGGACAGACTCACAGATACACTATGTGTATTCTGAAATCTTTTGTGTTCTTTATACTCTTTTTAATTCACTTGTACTTACTTGAGTAAAAATATTACTTCTAAAACTACATTAAGCCATACAATATATCCTGTATTTTCCTGTAAGTATGGACACGCATTATTTCTCTCAACTAATCTTTCTTTTCTTAAGATTTCTGTAGAGCTGTAGATTTACATTTCAGAAGTCATGGCTAAAGATGTCCAACTATTAACTATTACCTGAAATCAAAACCAGATATATTTTTGAGAATACATGTTTATTACTGGGACATGTAGCAGTTTCACAGATACTGAAACCACTGAATAAAATTGAATGTACCACTGATAAAAAACAGTAACAAGCTCAGTAAATCACTTATGTATCTTGCACACATATGAAATAAAATACAACTTTCTAATCATCACAGTCTTCAACAGAAAAGCTAGGGTTTTGATTATTTTCTTTTGGAATAAATATGTGCAAATTAGAAAATTAATTTTAGGATTTGTAGGTGTTTCTGTTTACCACACCTACAGCAATCCACTCCAGTTAGTGTAGGCCAGTCAGTATATAGTATTCTCAACAGTGAGACATCTATAAGCTGGATCTTCAGAACATAAATGGAAAAGTATATACCTTTGAGGGTTTCTAGCAAAAAAACCCCATTACCAGACCAACTGTAGAGTCTTCTTTGCTTAAATAGCCTTTGCTATCTTCATTGCATACTTCAAAATCCTGCAGAAAGAAAGTGATTCGCATAAAAACCCAATAAACCTAACCTAGGATTTTTTATTTTGCAAAATTGGTATAGGGGGAAAAAAAAGAGGCACTTGTTGAATCACTTCTATTCATCTACTCTGTTCCAGTAAAATTGAAAGTGGGAGAGCACATTCAGTTTGGGATCTTAGGTTAAAATAAAATTTTTCATACTATTGCATTTTATGTGCTTATGATGAAAAAGCTTTTTGCAAACTTAGACTACATAGTACAGACTCATAGGAAACAAATCACATGAAATTTCCTTCTACCAGACCATACATTTTTTTCTTGAAAAATGCCAGATAGCTTTAATTCTCAGTTAAGTCACCACACAGACAGGAACTATGAGGAGAGAGTGAATGAAAGCATAGTCAGAAGCCATCAAACTTTCTGAGGTACTTGTAGAAAACAAAAAAAAACATTTCCAGAGAGAATAGACTACACAGAGAACATACAAAGCCATCCAACGTTCCTAAGAGCTTTTCCCACAGAACACCTTCAGGAAGGGTTGACAATACAGCATCATAGAGTACAGCAGCAAAGCGTTTACCTACAGAACATTTCTGGGAAAAGTTACGTACAACTCTGCGGACAAGCACTGAGAAAACTACACAAACCAGCTGAATTGTCAGGAAAGCTTTTCCTAGAGTAACCTGCCGTTTTCATTGCGTGTTGGCACTTCCAGAATTTGTTAACTGCAGCCACAAGCTTACAACAAATTAGAGTAACGAGAACCGAGCGCTCAGTTCACCGCAGCAGCCGCAGCGCGCTTTGATGCGGGCCACGCTCCTCTTTTGATTAATTTTACACCTGCTTTCCTCCCTCTCCTTCCCGAAGTCCTCACGCACTTATCTCATTAGCGGGGCACTTCAGACACAGTAATTAACACCGCGCCGAACGAGCCATTATGCAAATTCCGCACCTGCCCATAACTAATATTAAGGTCCAATGAAGGCAGGTTAGAATAACTCAGCTCGCCGAGCGTTGCCCGCTCTGCCGCCGCGGCCCCGAGGCCGCCGGAGCGCCTCACGGCGGCCGCGCGCCAGCGGCTCGGGGCGGGGCCGCGCCGGAGAGGGCGGGCGGGGCCCGGGCCTGCTCTGGCTCTCGCTGCCCTGCGCGGGCGCTGCCGGTCGGTGAGTGGAGTCAGTGGAGTGAGTGCTGACGGCGGGAGCCCGGCGGGCTGCAGCCCCGGAGCGGCTGTCGGGGCTCTTTGGTACCTCCGTGGGCGCTGCCTTCGCTGTGGGGCGGCGGTGGCGGCCGCACGGCCCTCGGCGCGCTGGGGGCGGCCGCGGCCGGGCTCTGCCGCCGGGGTTCAGCGGGGAGGCGCGGCCGAGGGGCTCGCTGCGAGCGCGGGGCTGGCGGAGGAAGGCCGCGGTCCCGGAGGGTTCCCGCGGGGCAAAGCGCCGCCCCGAGCTCCTGAATCCGCTCAGCAGATGCCTCAGCCGTGGGGAAATATCTGTGTCGTGCAGCTCGCACCTCTGATTTGTAGAGTGCTTTCTCATAGGCGTCTGTATCTTAGCCCGTTTTCCATGTGCAGGTTTTCACATTTGCTGCTTCCCGTTTGATGGTTGCCACCATTGCACGTGTTTCTTTGTTTCCCGGGCACAGAAACAAGCCGTGTACACTATGAAATTTCCCAGAAACCCTCCCAAATACCAAAGCACGGTTCTTTGGTAATAAACAAGTAGGAGCTAGGAAGGGAGACAGACTTGAGCGTAGCAAAAACGTACAATTTTTGTTTGGTGTTTTTTCATTCCTAGGAACATGCTTCAGGAAGGCGCACACGGTAAATGGACAGTATCTAGCAGCGATGAAAGTGCCGATGAAAATTCTGACAGTGAAAAACCGTGTACATCTTCACTATCAGATGCTACATGTGGTAAAACAAGTGGACCACAATATCCATGCTCTGAAGCTAGGAAAGCTGCTCACAAGAGAAAATCTTCTCCCCTGAAGTTCACTGATAAAAGTCTTTCTACAGATGCACCTCCAGCAGTAAAACAGAGACCAAGCCAAGAAGGCTCAGGTTGGTGTCTTTCTAGTAGTGATGAAGAGCCTGAAGATCAGCAAAAGCCTGTTCACAAAGAAACAGTGAAAGAAGAAAAATGTGATGTGCACGAAGAGCATCCTCTGAATCTTTGCAAAGATGACAAACTCTCGGAGAATCTGAAAGAAGAGGAGTATAATGTAACACCCAGTGAAGCCCAGGATACCTGGGATTTGGTGACTGGAGGCAATCCTTTCAGGTTTTTTCTCACTAAAGTCAGTGGAATTGAACAGAGCTATAATTCTGGAGCCCTGCACATAAAAGGTGAACTTTTGGGCGAAAGCAAGAGAATGCTTATTTTTGGTTTGTGGGTATTTTTAAATGCATGTATTTCTTAGTGTTGCTGATATTTCATATTCTAAATGGGCTGGTTCGTAGAAATTGTTTCTGTTATCTGGGCCTTTCTCTTTCAGAGGTATAAAGCATTATTTGCTGATACTTTGTTGTAACTTGAATTAGGCTGCAGAAATATAAAGTGTATTTAGCCAAGACAAATCATGCTGCTTCTTACTACTGCTTTCTTTATGAGCTAGTCTGGGGAAAACCACTTGTGGCACTTAAAGGGGTGTTTTTCCTGGGTGCATAACTCTCTGAGTAGTTGTTTGCACCTGCCTCTGTGCTGCTGACTGGTTTGGACCTAGTAATTCACTATTAATAGGTGAAGTACTTCTGAAGTTCTGTGTCAGGGGTTCATGCATCTGTTTAAATTCAGCTGGGAGAGAGCTGTCCATCAGTCAAGATGGAGTGGAGCCTTTGGTGTGCAATACTGATGCTTTAGGAATGCTCTGTTGTCGTTTGATGTTAGGGGGAAGAGTTTTGTGCACCTTTAAACATCCCTGTAGTTAGAAATAAAATCTTATACATCACAAGACAGAAGCAGAAACAAGTATCAGTAAAAGAATTGTGTACAGAAATACAGTAAAATAAAGCAGAAAAAAATAGTAGTTCGTTGAGGGAGAAGAAATTACTTAAGACCTATATATACAATTAGGTTGTAACTTTTCCTCAACCTCATGCCTACTAGCACAAGCAGGCATCAGAGACTTCAGTGCTTTAGTCCAGGATGTTTTTATATGCTTTGTGAATTTGTGGCTTTTGGACTGTCCTGTCTTGGGAGTCCTGCTAGGTGATTAGTTGAGCTGGTGGACAGGCAATATTCTTTGTTTAAGCAGCTGAACCAGATTTCTGTAGAGCTAGGGCATTAAATAATTTGCACATCCTGGAAATTACTTGTAGGGTGTTTTCAAGTTGGTGCTGTGCTTCAGTTGTGGTTATAAATCCCCAGTTGGATTAGTTTCCTGTGCTGCTGTGATTGAACTATGAATACACATATCCCACAGTCAGTCTGCAGCAGATAAATAAGCATTGACTATGCCCTTATTGCTGCCACCCTGCCACAGTTCTTCAAGTCCACTAAACAGGGGAGAGAGTAATTTAATGGCCCTTTCTCAATATGTTGTTGAACTTTTTCCCTATCAGCTTTTAAAACTTGTTTAATGCTTTGAGAGGATTATTAATTTTTGTAAGGATATGATCCTAAATGATTCACAGGGGAGTCAGTGACTTGAATACTTAGAACAGTAAACTTGTGAATGCCTCTGTTACACCAGGTCTACGAACAATCTGGCCTTTGTGCTGTGGTATCAAGCTGTTCAAGATGCAAAACATTTACTTGACTTCTTTTTTATTTATTTATGCTTTAATATTTTTAATAGATATTTTGTCTCCTCTTTTTGGAACTCTCATATCTTCTGCCCAGGTGAGTTTCCTGTTTGCCAAACTGATTTCACTTGCTTGCTTCACTTCAGTAATCTTAAACTTGATAATCCATGCTTGTGCTATGTAGCTGATATTAACAGGGAACCTCGTTAAAATACAGGGTGAATTCTAAATATTTTCAACTGTTGAACAATTTATTGAATATAAACACTGTCCTATGTTCTGCTGTAGAATTCAGGCAATTATAAGACTACTTTCTCCAGTTTTTGAGGAAAGTGCAACTGAGAAGCATATATTTATGTTCATATAAATGAGGTTTTTTGAAAGAAAGAACACCTTGCAATCTAGGAATAATATCTTTTTTATTGCCTTGAAGTTTTGCTATCATTCATGATATAAACACATGGCAAAGAGATGATCCTTCAACCTAAGCTTTTACATTATGTGCATGTGATTCTTTTTTTTCTGGATGGTAAATTTTATGAGCATTTTTGAGAAACTTAAATTGAATTGTTAAAGAGAAATGAAAGAAAGGATATAAAAGTTAAAAATACACCTGTTTTTAGAATGTGCTATATTCTGTATTATCTATGAGGTAAGTAGTAATGTGTGATTAACATAAAAAGCTTTTTTTGATGTAGTTCATTGATCTAGCTGGTTTTTTATTTTTAATGAGTCTGTTTTCTTTTTCTTTCATGCAAGTTTAACTACTGTATAGATGTGGGATGGCTTGTAAGACAGTACCCGCAGGAATTCAGGTATGTTCATTTTACAAAGGTGAAATGATGAAATTTCCAGATCATTACTGTTCATACAAGGTCCCATTATAAATGAATGATAAACACTTCTTTGCAGTGCAGATGATTGTTACCAATTTGCACAGACTCTTAGTTTTCATTCTTCTCCGATTCCACAGCTGTAGTTCTCTGATTTCTTGACTCTTTTCTAGACTGGAAAATAGAGTTCAGGATAGCTGGTTTCTGATTGTTATTAGTTAACACTGAGGAGGTCCCGTTATGGGCCTCAATGACATGGCAGTAGATACCCTGTAAAGATGGAACAAGAAGCTTTTTGCCATACAGTTTACTGGGTCAAGAGCCAGATAGTGCAAGAGAAAAGAGAGAATGTAGGAAGGGCACAACAAAACTCTGTAAAAAGGATCAGGATGATTTCATGGATATGATATAGTAAGTTTATGGGTATTGTCATAAAAGCAGTTCTTGTTTGCTTGAAATTCCTTTCTGATAATTGCAAATTCCTGCAGATGAAGTGAGCATATAATGTGCCTTTTCTTTTTTTTTTTTTTTTTTTTTTTTTTTTGTTTTGTTGGAATGCAGTAGAACCAGATTTCACAGAATCACAGAGTGGGTAAGGTTGGAAGGGACCACACTGGGTTGAGCAGCACACCATTCCTTGTGGGATCCTCCACTACATGTGTCAGAAAGCTGTCATCAGTGCTTTCAAGGAGCTTCCTGTACTGTTGATGCTTTGCTGTGTTGCTTCTCCCACACACATCAGGGTAGTTACTCCCCCACAAGAATCTGGGTCTGAGGCTGCTTGTACTGCTGCTGTAGAAGGCCTCATCCACTTAGCCCTGCTGATCAGATGGCAGGCAGCAAACACCCACAACAGTGTCACCCTTACTTGTCTGCTCTTTTATCCTAACCCATAACAGTGGAACATATACACGTCCCATAACACTTGGAACATATCTCAATTGATATGTTCCTCGTGTAGAGGGCAACTCCACTACTGCACTTTCCTGTCTTTCTTAAACAGCACAGAGCCCTTCATGACAATATTCCAGTTGTGTGAGCTATCCCACCATGTCTCTGTAATTGCAATGAGATCAAAGCCCTGTGACTGCACACAGCTGTCTAGTTCCTCCTGTTTGTTCCCTGTACTATGGTATGCAGGTGCTTTATGGAAGTATTTGGGTGTGCCAGTATCCCAGTGGGGGTGTAAAGAGATGCCCTATAGTCCTGTCCTGTGGTTATGTATTTGGCTGCTTGTACTCTGTGCAGTTATCTCCATCCTGTCCCATCATTCCCTGTAACTGGCAGGAGAGAAGAGAACACAACTTGTGCTCCAGATGTCTTGACCAGTTGTCCCAAGGCCCTGAGGTCCCTCTCGCTTGTCTGCAGTCTTGTTGGGACTTTGTTAGTACTCACTTGAAAAGCCCATAATAATCAGTGGGCTGAGTTTTCTTGGTGGTGTCTCTTACCTGGACCCCAGGGAGGTAACACACCTCCCTGTGGAGTAGATCTGCTCGGCAGGACCAG